TCTCTTCTGTTGTAAGAACTAGAAGTTTAAAAGTAAACTCCCTACATGAAAGGCTTTTCTATCACTACAAAAACATCTTTCCATTAACATGAAAAAGTCAGTTATGAGGGGAAATAATGAAGATGAAATTAAAGAAAGGAATATTTAGACTGAGCTGAAGTCAACTTTTCTAATACTGTAGTCTGGCTAAAGTCTTTGGGAGGAAAAAACAATTCCCTTACATAGTACAGTTCATTATTCAGTTTTAAGTAGATTCGAAAACAGAAACCTAGAACCAAAATCCATTTTGCAGCAGGTAACAAATTACTGAAATCTTCCCTACTCCAGTGCTACATTTAAAGATAATAAAATGTTCAGATTTATTCAGTTTCATCCACAACGGCTATCAAAGTAGACATTTACATTTCTAAACAAGAAAACCTTTCTGAAAATATACATCATTTATACCTTTAGCAGAAATCTAAGTTGTAAAGACAGGGAAGGACATGGAAACAGAAAGCTTGATTCATTAGAAACAAAGGACTTTTTGCAGATCTCCACAAAGATCACAGCATGTAAACTGGTCCAGTTGCATTATTCCTCACTAACAAACTTTCTTCCCCATTTTTAATAGCAATAGTATTTTCATTCCATATGTTTAGTAGCAATAGTATTTTCATAACACCAAAATTTCTGAATAAGTTTTAATGATTACTCACTGAATCAGCATTTATCAAAATTATTCTATTTGGAAGAAGAGAGAAAAAATACGTCACAGTGGAAAAAGCAACACTTCATCAAAGAAAAAATAGATAGGAGCTGCAAAGAACCTGCTGCAAATCAAATCCACCATTAAATGAAACTTTTCACACTGGAGAAGCAGCATCTTAATTAATTTAATAAAGCTGGCAATGAAGTATTGTCTAAATTAACAGCATCATTTTAACACAGTTATGAATTCCTGAGACAGGAGTTCACAGCATAAACCTCTGATTCTCAAGAGGCCTTTTTTTTGGTTTTCAACACAAATACAAAAAATGACACTAGCAATAAAATATAATACTAAAAGGGATAATAAGTAAAGACTGAAAACTCATGGGAAAGAGGTGATCTTCTGTTATAAGGTATACAACAAGCAATTCAAATAGTAAGGCTTTTTTTTTTTCTTTTTTATAATTACTGATATATGATGCCAGGAGATCCATTATTAATGCTGGTAGTATAAAAAAATAAATGAGAAACACATAGAAGTTGGAAGAAAAGAATCAATGCTGACATTAATATAAGTTTTGATTTTTTTAAAAATCAAGAAATAATGATAGTAGACATATACAATATACAAGACTTTATCTTTGTTTCTACTTCATAAAGAAAAAAGAGTTTTCTGTCAATAACACCACCTTTAAACATAAAGATGTTTTATGCCTTTTACTCCTTTTAGTAGAAAGAAATACTGATAAAGAGCATGGAACAATACTTGGCACAGTCATTTTTAATGATCAACTAATTCATCAATAGATTTAAATCACTCTTTTCCTTTAGTAGACAAGAGCATTAAGGTTTGTTGGGCACTGCAGTAATAACAGAGCTGGAGTATGGTCACATAATCAGTGAAAAGACAACAGAAATGAATTCATGTTTTATAATAACTTTTTTACTTGGGAAATATTAATTATAGAAAAAGTCATTAATGACATTATTTACAGAGAATGAATACCAGCATCAAACAAACCCAATTTACCAATAACACTCTGTCAACAAATGGTGATTCACCAACTGAGCAAGTGAATTAACTATCATTTTCCTTACAAAATAACAGTAGACAAAAATATAACTTGGCAGTATTTCCCCCTTGTTAATGTGGACATTAATTAGAATAGTTATATAAAAAAGATTTGAATTAAATATGTCAAGGTCTCAGAACTGTTTGAATTCCTCTTTGCTTAATTAATCCAAATATTTAAATTAGCTTCTCCATGTAATTTGGTGTTTCAACCAGAATCCCACTGAATCCCACAGTCATATAAAATTATTATTTGCAGACTGCTTATGCAGCTCCCTTTTGAAACCTGCAGTTAATATGAAGATGTAATCCCTTTGTACAAAACATCTTTAAGAAACAAGGTCTCTGTTAATTAGCCAAGCACTTATCCTATTCTCTAACTGGCCACCAGATCTGACATGTAGACAACTTATTAGGTTTGTGACTCTTCTTTTCATTGCTAAGTCTAGAATATTTAGACAAACTACATTTCAGCTAAAACGTCTCCTCTCCTTTTCCCAGAAATTAAGGGAAAAGGATGTATTGGAAAGTGCAGTGATTAGCAACTGTCCAAAATTTTATTTTTACTCAAGTTCTCCTTCACAGGAAAAACTACAGGTTTTCATTGTTTTCCCCAGAATCCTAAAACTTAACCTTTGTAGGTTTTTGTAACAAGTATTAATTTTCCTTAGGAAGATATTTTCCCTCTGTTTTACCGAGATGGAGTGTCCACGATTTTAGCACAACAGTGAGCACTGTCCTTAGGGCAAATGGTGAGATTTTAGTCTCCTTTTCCTCAAAACAACACTGTTGTAACACTGTTTAGCAGTAGAAAAAAGTACTGCATGATAGTCTATTTTGTTGTAGTTTAAAAATGGAATTATGAGTTTTACCATTGAATCCAAATGTACAGTGCAGTATCTTCCATGCATCTACAAATTACAGAAAATTTCTATCTAACAAAACAAGAAAGGCTATTTTCTCTCTTAATTTTAAAATGGATTGATATTATTAACTCTAAATTTTTGTTTCACCTTTTTTTTCTGTTCCAACATAATGTCAGAGAATTATTCTTACAAATTAAAATTATCCTTGTCTCCCATTGGAATTTTTAAGCCCTTCTTTGCAATCTGCGCCTGGTAACAAGAATCTCATGTGAATAGACTCACAATTTCTTCAAGGTGAAATGAGCTCCAAACGGTCACATCTTACCTCATTTGCACTATCATAATTTTGAGGTAATCTGTAATTCCATTGTCTTCTTGGCAAGTGCTGGAAGCAATATCAATATTCTTTATAAGCGGATCAGTCTTCCAGAAAAGATCTTCTAGACATGTGGCAAATTGTGAGCACCCGAGAAATAAATAGTGATCTGTGCTGGGCTGTTCCATCACTGTCAATACACTTCACATGATTTCAGAAATCCAGCCAGCATTGGGAAGCAATAATTCCTACAAATCTTTTTAATGTCACAAACTGTATGACAGATGCATTAATTACAAATAATAATATCCTACAGAAAGTAAAACCAGACACGTTGCCTCATGTGCATTCGATCCTTTACTTTTTAAATGGGGCTTCAGGGTAAAATGCAGAGTGGATACACTCTCAATACTAAAGAATCAGAAGTGACATGGAAGGTGTTCACTGGAACTAAAAAGTATTAACTTCTAGTCATGTTTTATTGACTGTCATCTAATTAAGAGGTGCAAGGCAAGACTGCTAAGGGAGGCTATGTCCATACTACTGAACAGGATACAATGGATATTACAAGAATTACTGAATATTAACAGCACACTCAAATGCCCCACAGAAATACAGTCGAAGTAAAAAAGAGATTTCCTTTGCTGTCTCTCCAAAACAGAAGGTATGAATGCAATGCTCATGCTAATATGGCATTTATTAGAATGAAAGAGCTGAATCTTAATAAAGTGATAAATAGATAACAAAGAGTCTGCTGCACAGTTTAGTTTTCAGATTACTGCCATGGACTGTGTTGTGAATTCAAAGAAATAAAATGAGAAAAACCCGAATAGCTCAAGGACTTAATGTAATAAAATTACTCCCTTAAATAGCAAACACTTGTTTTAATGGAGATAGGGCTGCAAACACCAATACGTTAGCAAAAGGCTAGCAACCTCTGAGGACAGTATTTTTTGTGAATACAGTAGCTAAAACTGATAATAAAATTTGAATTGATATATCCACAAGACCTGCAGACTCACATAATATATAACATTATAAATAATTTTACACAAATAGAAGATTTTTTTTCCCCTGAAATGATGTTGCATCACATTTTTCTCAATACTTACACAGAACAAACCAGATTCTTTCCATGAGGAAATTAACACCTAATCACTGGACAGGAGAAGTGGTTAAAACATTGCTAAGAAGCAATTTACTGATATAACTTTACTAAGTTAGTTGCCAGGCCAGACCAGTCTTACTCTAAGTTCAATTCAAGATGCTACTTTGAGGAGTGTTTGGTATCAAATGCTTCACAGGCTAGTAAAAGAAACACCAGAATAATCTAATGAGTATTAGCTCGGCAAACATGGAAAAAACATCTAAACCCCATAATTTATGAAAGTCAAATTGAGCTCCATTTTATGCATCCACTGTAATCTGGTTTTGTCATTTAGTCTGTGCCTTATACTGTTTTTACTTCATGGAAAATATTAATAAATTCAGAAACCTCAGAAACAGCAATAAGGTCATTAGTTTAAAGCCTTAGACCAGTGTAAATGTGGAATATTCTGACTCCAGATTAACCACAAAGGCATCACTGAGCACTGAACCTGACATACTTACTTTAGACAGCATTTATTATAGTAAGACTCATACCCTCCCTGTGTGTCATGTCACATCTGCTAAATATACAGGTTTAAATGCAAATTGAGAAATAGTCTGGAAAGATCTGATTAGGAAGAGAAAAAAGAGCTTTGCGCTAAAGAATAACAAATATGTTACTTTAAAGCTGGCAAAAATTAAAAAAGCTGTAGGGCATGCAAGTATGGTGAGACTTGATATAACAAACAGGTGAAATAAGTTATCCTTTCCAACCTCTTAATACGTTATTTTTTAAAATAAAATTTAACCTGCTGACTTAGTAAAAACAGTTAAGGTGTATTTGTCAGGTTAAAATTCCTAAACAAAACATCCTCCACTTATAGTCATGTAAAAGACACTGGTATCAAGGGGTTTAACCATGTAACCTCATAAACAACATGTGAAACCAAATATTTTATTTCTATACCTCTGCTGCCAGCTGCTGAAGAGAAGGGGATGCAACAGGGTGTAAAGTTGAGTTGCCTCTGACTGGATCATGAAGGCTAACATAAGCCACAACATTTCTTTGAAGAACTCTCTTGAGGTCCTACAACACAAGCAGAGCAATGGTTACTACTATGCATCATTAGAATTAAGGTTTGTTTTGTTCTTTCAGTTCCTTCTAAGGAAAAACTGCACCCAATGTTTCTGTCCTCTGTGATTTCCTAAGTAATACTTAACTACTACTTCTTATAATACGCTGTTATGGACTTCAAAGGATATCTTGGTGCTATTTCTCTGTACAGCACAGGTTATAATTCCATTTCACACATCATCTCAACAAAATGCAAACAGGTCTGAGAGGAATTAAAAATGACTACACTCGTAAGGCCAAAAATGAAAACATTACACACTGTGAAACAATGTGATGGCCTTTTAAAGTTATGCCTGACAGAAGACAAACTTCAAAAGCAATCATTATCAACAGTTAAATGGACTCAAATTTTTAAGAGACCAAATTCATATTTGAATTGCATAACTTTCTCAGTGTTTTCATTTTATTATTTGTTAGACTATAAAAATACCATGTACAACTGTTTCAATTATTATCTCTTTTTTAAAAAGATCCCCTTTGCCTTCTCAGTAATGAGTTCCTCTTTGCATGAAGTGTTCTTTATATTGAACAGAAGGGGTGTAACACAATTACATCTGATGTAAAGCTGACTTGAAGTGGAACTAAACAAATTTTGCTTCCAGCCTGGATCTTTTCAATTTGATTTTTTCACCCCCTCTTGTTTTTGAAAAATAATGATGTCGGAAGTATGAAATTTCAATGAGGGCTAGCTGCTTCTTACGCATGATAAAAAGCAATTAACTCTTTATTTTATCTACTGTTTTAATTCATATTAATCGTTAATGTTGGAAAATCAGCCATGAAACTCTCTAGCAGCTATTCCTCTAATTTATGATCTGAACTGTAACTATATATGGTCATTCATACCCTGGTGAGGTATTTTCTGTCAATAATCTGGTTTCTATCCTGTTGAAACTAAGAGCCCAAGGAATTGCCTGTGTTGGATTTTACCTAACTCCTTAGCACAAATATGAGAGAAGTGAATCAGCACTAGCCATGGAGGCACTGAAATGTTTATGTCGTTAATGTAAACCATAATGTGGTTCTCTCCTTTTCATTCAGTGTGCTCTTGATTCACTTCTTCCCACACTAAGCCTTACAATTAAAAATGAGTAAATGTTGAACTCCCAAGAAGGACAAAAAGCTCTCTAAGCTATTCGTTGGCCTGTGTAATTTGTTGAGGTTTCTCTCCCTCTATCAGACCCTGGTAATGACCTTTTACAATGCTCTGCTGAATTAGGGAGGGATATCAGCTCTCAAAGGTGCTGTATATGCAACCTTCACAGCTATGGAAACATCCTGCCATCTCATTATCCACAGGAACAGCCTCAAAAGGTGTTCTCACTGCATTTGCTATGTGGTACAAGAATGAACACAGACAGACCTCACAGACCAGCTAACGAACCACGATTTCCATGTGGTAATTCCATATTGTTTTCACACTTTCAACAAAAGTAATCATTATTGCAATGACACCGTCTAAAATTACTTTACCTCAGCCCACTCATATGAACCAATGTTCCCAAATGCAGTTCCTCCCCATGAGCAGAAAACAATGGTCCTGTCAGGTCTCCAGCCCCTGTTAGCCTTCAGTGTCAAGGCCTGGATCAATGCTGTGATGACAGCAGTGCTACTGGCCCATCCTTGTCCACCATAAGGGTTCAAGTTGCTGTGATGGCTCCCAATGATGACATATCTGTCTGAAATGTGAAAAAAAAGAGACAGACAGGAACTTTACTTCTTCTGGATGCCAGCATTAAAAGAATTTTAAATAGCCCTAAAAAATGAACTCTGTTAGTGGTCTGTAATGTCATTAGTACAACACAAAGCTGTCAACAAAAATTTATATGATTACATGCAAGACAATCAAATATGATTACATACAACATATATACATAAAACTGTGAGTACTACTTAAAAATGAGCTATTAAATAAACATATGCATATCCTTTCCTAATTAAACCTCTGTGCACTTGGCTTCATCTGATATATACCATTTTTACAGCAGGGCTTTGTCATAGAGACAATCTAATATTTCCATGCTCACATTAGAGTGTTATGAAAATATAAAAATAAGTAGGAAACTGTCTTCAATACACATTGGCATCCAAAAAAGAAAACAAAAGGTGCAGTACTACAATGGGCAACATAAATAAAATACACAAAGTATTAGTACTCCCTCACCTGGAAGACTGTGTTCAGTGCTCACCACCCTATCTCAAAAAAGACATGGCAGAAACAGCAGTTGAGCAGCTGGTAACCAGAACAGTTATAGATCAGGACTTAGACTTCCATGTAAGGAGACATTAAAATACCTGGACTGCAGGTTTAGAGAGGAGACATGACAGAGGAATAGAGATAATGAATGATACAGAAACGATAAGTCAGACCCAGTAGTTTTGTTAATGCTGGAAGAAGGTACTTTACAGGGTGAAAAGCAAGAACTTTCAGCCTGAAATAAAGAACACACCTATGGTTACCCCCCCCCCAAAAAAAAAAAAAAAAGCAAACAACGCTTTTCTTTCAGAGAAATAACACTAAATCTTCATCTCTCAAGGTATTATGTAAAATCCATATACCACTCACAAGAGGAAAAAAACCCTTATTTTATTCCAAAAACGATGATGTGGTATGAAATAGCATGAATGACTAGTGTGACTGAGGCCTGTCAAAGAAGTCAAAGCTGAGTTATGCTGAATGACTTACTAAACTACTAGACCTTCTGTGTGAGATGAATTCACAACCAAAGCCTCTTTGAAGGAGTGCTCACTGATTTTGTTCTGATATTAAGTAGTTTCTTTCTGGTCAAGATCTAGTCTTCTAAAGGTTTCTTTCAATATTTCAGGGTACCAACAGAGAACAGAATAGCTATCAAGTGATGCCAGATCCACAACAACCTCTGGGTGTTGTTTGGGTTCCAAAAAGTGCAAAAGTTTTGGTTTCTTTTCTTTATCTATGGGGATTCACTTTGCACTTGCTGTCAGTACACCAGAAAGTGGCAACACATAGGTGGTAAAATGCCAACATTTTATACTCGCTTATAAAATTATATATCTGCTCCTCAGTATTTTTTACAGTGACTGTTGCCTAGAAACAATTTTAATAGAACATCAACATACCTTGATTATAAACCCATTCTCTATTAAACTGGACTTTTATCAGCTCAACAAAATACACAGGCACGTTGTTTTATATGGAATCAAAAATGCTTTACAAACAGGGGATTTGTTATGTACCTATAATACAATATTTTTAATCAATTGCTTGGGGAGTGTGTAGGTATGTAAATGAAAAGTTCTTTCTAAAAATAGATATGCAAAGTGTAAACCTAAGTGTACATAATAATGTAACAAAATGCAATCTAAATCACATAATTTTGCAACTTGCGTGTTGCACCATGAAATGCTTAATTATAGGTTGCACTAACAATAAAAAAACCATAGGATCTTCAACTCACTTAATGAAAGGAATTTGGACAGAAATTAATGGCCTTACAAGCTTCTATGTCATTAAAAGAAGTGCCACTAACACAGAGGGATCAGACAGGGTCAACACTTACCCCATATTATGTGAAGGGGAAAGGGAAGAGACATTATTAAAATAATGTGGGACATTTTGATGGAGCAGAAGCTACAAGCAGCAGCTTACTGTAGGAGAAGACAGCTGAATGAGCAGGGGCAAAACATAACAGTTGGTGTCTCCTTTGGAATTCTTTATCTCTGCACATCTCTCCCTCTTGAATAGAGGCAATACCCTGAAGCAAACAAATACAGGAAAAGCATAGGAGAAAGGATGGTCATGCTTGCAGAGGCAGCAGCTGTCCTTTCTCAGAATCACATGGTAAGAAAAAAGAGAAAAGACTAGAGATAGAGGAAAAGAATACCCATCAGATACTTTTGGAGGTGATAAGAAGGACAGTGTTCAGGTTAGTGATGGGCTGGACAAGTCTCTTTATACTGTCTTCTCTTGTTATATATCCCCTTTACAGCCATGTCCAATAGAGCTATAAAATCAGTGTTACATTTTTCAAGTTTTAAACTGCTATCAACCAGCACATTTGATCTTCTCCTAAATCTTTTAATATCTTGGTTAGAATTGAGATGCTCATTCTTACTCCTCAAATCAAACATCAGCTAAGATCACCATTACCTAGATGTGTCTGTCTGTGCATTAGATGTTTAACTTGTGCCTACATCAGCAGCCAGTTGCTATGGTTCTTGTTCAGCCAGACATCTACAGGACAAGCTGTTGCCATCTGGAAAGTGCTTTTGACTTCACTTGATTATATATCCTTTAATTCTTAAAGTTCAGCATATATTGACAAGCCCTTAAAACGTAGTTTCTTAATAAGAATGCAATAATAAGATGAAAGATTCAGGTAAAGAGGAGATAAAGAATTTATTAAACATAAACATTAGCTGGCTTGCTTCTGTTTCACAATTCAGTAGAAAGAATGTCTAAACATGGCAGCTTCTGCCCTTCAAATTCCATGACAGCTGTTTGCAAAACATTAGCAACAGTAGATTAGTAGCTTCAAATTAATGAAGGAAATTAAATCCTTTACTGAAATTAAATTCACTGTGCTGTTTTCTATGTTGTTTCAAAAAAAATATTTTGGTGAGAAGTATTCACTGGTGAATTTACAGTATTCACAGTATTCTGGTGAGAAGCATTTAGCACACACAAAACAGAGTCCTTATTTCACTAACAGGAATAACAATTTTCTCCTCTCCCTTCTCTATGACTTAAAATATGAAATGACTGGCCCACCTCCTAAGGGACTGTAAATAAATTTGCATCCTTTCCTCTGAACCTGATAAAAGAGTATTAAGGCAAGTGTGATGATGTTTTGATGATAATCATCTGTACCCTAGGAATTGGACTAACTCCACAATGCTTTGCACTATGTAAGTAACCAGCAGCTAAGTAACAGTGTTCATTCATGTTGCAGAAACCCTTCACTTCTTAGGCAAATTCACTTACAGACAGAATAATCTCATTCTTATGATATCTTCATAAGATCTTCATTCTTACAATATCCTGATTATCGCATTATCCATGTACAGCATCAAAGCAGGGAGGGGGTTGTGCTTTATGTCTCAGTTACATTTAGAATCTTATTTTTTAATTATTAGACATAGAGAACAGTAATCATTATTCATAGAATTGTATGAAACTAGCTTAAGGCATGACTGTAATACAACGTAAGGCTGCAGCAAGTGTTAAAACCATATTAAAATTAAACCCATAACACAGTTACTTGGTATAAACTACTAATACTCTCTATGGTCTATGTGTAATGCCTGATGCTCATGTAAACGTGTTTATTGTAACTACAACCCCCTTGAGCTTTTTCTCTCTTTAACCCTTCTGTTCTGTCATAAATAAAACCACAAAATGACTACAATTAAGGATCTCTCCTTCCACTGCATTATGTGGCAAAACAGAATCCTGATCACACCTGTGACTCCCAGCCATCATGAAATAAATAATTGATACAAATGATAAAGGGATGCTTACCAGGAAATACAGCTCCTTTTAAATATCCAATAACATTAGAAATAGTCTTGTAAGTTGTGATTGACTGAATATTCAGACTGATAATTTTTTTTCCTGTTAAAAGATTAAAGAAAAAAGAGTTAAACTTGTCTATCTAGCCAAGAAATCTACAGAACACAGAATAAATTCTACATAAATTAAAAAAAGTAAAATAAAATAAAAAAAAAAAATTATACTGAAGAGGAACCAGAGATTAAAAAATGTAGTATTACACTATTTTATTTTTTTAGACCCATTTTAGCTGTGTGGTTCAAAGTTGGAATCTCAAAAGAGATCTCTACTCCTTGAGTTTAAAGATCATTGAATTTGTTCAATAAATGTTGCCAGAATACAACAGGGTAAAAAAACCCAACAAACCTTAAACGAGTAGGATTTACATACTTCTGTAAATATGAAATTTGTGTTACTCTTTATAGGTTTTTCTCAGTTGATCCTTCACCCAAGTCAATCCATCAATAATATTCACAAAATTTTACCTGGTTGCTATTACACTTTCTTCTGGAGAAACACCCCTATGTTAAATAAGATGGGAACAGTTAGACCTCTCCATTACTACCCACACTGCCAGCCCAGCCTTTGGTGATACACTTCTGAACTTATGCCAACAGAAGTCAGGTTTTTTTGGTTTAGTTGGTATCACCTGAGGAAATACATAGGCAGGAAAATTTTAAAATCTGCTAAAACATAAGGGACTTGCTAGTATTGCTCAGCCAGTTGAGACTGTGGCACAGAATAAAGCCAGGGAAAAGTAAAAGCCTGAGTTAAAATAGCTTTAAAAAATTAACAGTCCTCTGCCCTGCAGTGGGACAGAGTAACCACACAAACTCCTGCAGTTTGTGACAATGGAAACCAAACAACTAAGTCAGGGGAACTGCTGGTACCTTCCAAATGTTTCGTTTGCATTATAATAGACTTTGTTAACATTCATCTCATCTGAAAGGTCATAACTTCTATCTGAGGAAAATGAAAATGTCTTAAGCTGCTCTAACTTCAAAGGTAGCAATTGTGTGACAATAACCACTGTGTCATCCCAGACACTCAGGGAGGGTCTCTTCCATCCAGGTATCCACCACCCCCCTGTGTTTAAAGGCATCTCTGAGACAGAATTCCTTCCATGTCCATACCCCAACTATCACACACCTAAATTAAAATATTCCACTGATCATTTTGCTCTCTATCTCCAAGGCTATTACTCTTCCACAGATCTATTCCTGACAATTTGTTTCCAGGCTTTGTTTCCTGAGATATGGGAAGCATACAAGTGGGGAGTTTACTGCAACATGTAAAATAAAACCAGTACATCATTATGATACCGTTCTTCAAGGTTCATTTGTTGATACTTCATGTTTACTTGAAAATTCTCTTAAAATAAAATCTAATATATTTTAGTTCACAAGTATTCATTTACCACTGAAAAAAACAAACCAACTGCTAGGATCTTTGTTGTAAAAAATTGTACCAGAAATATCTATTCTGTTTTTCACTCAGGCAAGACCTCCTCTGTTATCAATAGACGTGTTCTGCTTTTGCTTGAATACAACAGGAAAGAAAATGCAAGTCAAGCAAGTTAATAAACCACAGAACATGATTTTGCAATAATCAATCATAGCAAGTTAATTTTGATTTGTCATGTAATTAACTTCACCCTTCTGACGTAAATTACTGTAAGGTTTATTAACACCATGTGATAATGAATTGTGTTTGTTCTATAAATCCACAGATAATATTTTAGAATTTTTAAAAAGTATTTGATTTAAAACAAAAAAATAATCCAAAGGGTTCCCAAAGGGTCTTTCAGAAAAATGTGAGAAGAGCTCAAATCATCCATGTTGATTAAGCAGCTTAAATTTAATCCAAACTATGCAACTTACTTCTTGCTGTTGATTCTCACCTACAACCACTCTAGAGCCAATTCAGTCTTCTTGAAAAACAGTTTTAAATTCAAAACTGATTTCCTTTCCTTTTCTTACAACACTTCAGATACTTGTTTCTTTGGGCTTCACAGAAAACAAGAAGATTAATCCTTTTGAAGACAACCAACTTCATTGGTTTTCCTTAACTGACATCAGCTATCCAGTCTTCAACCAACAATGAAGAAACAGAAAATTAACTTTTGGCAATACACCATGTTCTAGAATCAGATATTTGAGCTAATAGTCATGTAACACAGTAGTCAGCTTAAAGTGACTTGGGCTTAAAGGCTTAGTACACCAGATGAAAAGGCTGAAAGTACTCTTCAGAGTACACAGCAGAAGCAAAATTTAATCCCTTTAAACAGTTCTGACAACAAACCTCTCTTCCTTATGCTATAATTTAAAGATCTTGACATCTTTCTCTTGTTTTTTTTTCTGTATTCTCTGGAAAACTATGAGGAGACTTTAACTCAACATGATTCAGGATACACTTTGAGTTTATGTAAGCCAAAAGCTACTTCTGAAATAGAAGAAGAGAAATGTATTTATTGTTATTTTTAATTTCTTTCTTTCGTGATTTGGAACTGTAAATTGTCTCATACCAAATGACTACCTTCTCCTCTCCCATTTATATAGTTATTTTTAGAAATGCATGGCTATTTCCCATTCATTTGACTGACAATTTTAGTACTCCAGATGAGTAAAAAAAATTCTACTTGCTGTAGTTATGTTAAAACACACCATGAGTTATGTTTTGTTTCTTTTTTTTGTTGTTTTTAACCTCATCCCAAGCTCATACAAACAGAGAGGAGTATAAGTTTGAGCCTCACTTTCAAACATATTGGTTAAATTCTTGAATCCTGATCATGTTAAGTGCCTATAATCAGACAGTTTTCTGAGCATTGCTTTAAGTATTGAATTTTAAAAAGTATCTTTAGGGTTCAAAAACTGAACTAATTTGACAAGATTTTTGCTATTCATTTACAAAAATTTCCTGACATCACATTTAGCTCCAGTACAGAAGCATTGAGAACTAAACTAATTCAAGCATTTCAATAGCTCCTGGATCATAAAACCAGAAGTTATTTCAGAAGACTGCAGAAATAAAGTACACTGAATGTACTGCAGTTTTCAATATACTTCCTGTTGAAATCAACATAAACCACACCTGAATAAACAGACATCAGTCTGAAATCACAATTAAACTAAAGATTTCAAACTTCATCAAACATCCATGGCTATGTAACTAACTTAGGGGGCATCAAATAAGCTGAAATAGTCATAATAACTCTAAATTTGACAGATTTCTTCTTCCAGTCATTCAAAAACCTTACAACAGGCTTTAATAACTCTAACTAACTTTGTGACCACACATTACCAAGCTTTTCAGAAACCCCTGAAGGCCAAGGATTCCTTTAATAATGAAAGCCACAGTTTTTATAAAGTTACTTGCCCCAAGAGCAGAAGTTTGTAAAGTAATATCAAACACCACAGAACATGATGGTAGAATAAGAACTAACTGCACTCAGTGTAGAAACACTGTAAGCTATTTATATGTAACCAATAATCAAATATATCATAGATTTCCTATATTCTATTGGTGATACTGTAAAAAATAATATGGTCTGGCATGCAGTTTTTGGAATACCCTGGAAATCACACAGATATGACAAGCAAACATTAAAATATATATAACACCAAATTTTACTGTAGTTTGAAACAAATGCTTCATTTTCACTAGACATTTTCTAGAATAATAGAGTAAAAATTCCAAACTACTACTACCATCTTAGACTGCCTAGTTAACAGGCTTTTAAAATCTCACTGAACTGTGAAAAACATATTTCAGTTAGTTCTCAGTGTTTCATCATGTCAATTTGAGTGCAGAACCTTATCTACTACATACTTTATATCAGTTTTCAATTAAGTTCAAACACAAAACTCTAAATGAAGAACTGTAATCATCACAAGCATTTATGTAACATCAGAACTTACATATAAAAACACTACATGCAACATAATGACATACTTAGAAAAGTGAATAAACGTAAAATAGTATATACCTAATAATTTAAATAATCTCTGAAAAAATATTGTGAGACACTGTCAAATTGCACATGCAAAAATCAATACTGAATTTATGCAAGGTATAACACTTTTCAATTATAAACTTATTTGCGCAGGGATATGTCAAACCTCCAGGACAGATGTCCTGTAACAAAGGGCCTTTAGTGACTGAGTTTTTTGTTGGTTTTTTTTGTTTGTTTGTATAAGCAGTGCACCATCTAGATACAGTCTCTTTGAAATCTGGTATCCCTAATATTTTTCTCTAATAGATTTCTATTTGATTAACCAACTATTTCGCCTACTAACAATATATCCCCTTTTTAAAATGGATATTCATAGATCTTGAGTTTCCAAGCCAAATCTTTGTCTGAAGAGCTTAATGAATAAATTTCTTGCTATTTGATTATCTTTTCTGACCTACAATGAGGAATCCAGAAATAAAACTATTCAGATTAAGAGTTTCTGAAAATAAGCAATGTCTAGAATAAAGTCCTTTAAGAAGGCTTTAAACTGGGATGGCTTAAATGGGATACAAAATCAGTGTGTCAAAGTTAGTATCAAAGACAGCTGAAAATGCTTCATATGGTACAGCTGAATTTCATAACCTCACACTATTTTGACAGTTTCTTTACCTGCTTTACAGCAATCCAAACCAAAGGATCACATAGAAAAATAATGGCAGAGAACAGAATTCTGAAAATATACCCTGATTGTTTACAGTTCTGGTAGAAAAACTCTTGAGGCTTCAGGTGGGAGTAGAGAGAAGATACATAAAAAATGCTTCTCACTGTTCATGCTTAATTCGTTCCATGAACTTAAAGAACAGAATTTAAAGCAATCATGAAAAGAAAATCTGAGAGTATTGGTATAAATGTCTGTAAATTTTCATATCCAGTATATCTGAATTAGATCAGACTTCCCTATGTAACATGTACTTCTTTGAAATGCCAGTAAGAGATACCTGCAGAACACCATTATATTCCTGTTGCTATGTACAGTGACTTCATATCTTGTAGATACAGTAACACGCACTGCCACACATTATGCTGGCATCTTTCTCTATTTGTTTTCTTGGATTCATGTTTAGCCCAACTACCTAAAAATTATGGGATTGTTTCTGCACTGGTATCACAGTGTATGATGGCATGGCCAGAGTTTATTAAATATGGTGCCCTTTCTTTTCTCTGACAGGTAGCAAACCATGAAGGAGAAACACATATAACAAGAGCACAAGGCTGCAGCCTAATAGGAGGAGATATATATCCTTTTCATGCCCTTCTTCTGAGTGAATAGAAGACAGGCTCGATTTGCACTACTGCACCACTTAGCAGAGAACTTTGCCTTGGATGATGATTATGTAATATGGAAACTACAGGACTCTTCCAACTAATTATTGCTTTTGTGTAATTAATGATCAGAGTTGACTAAAAACTCAGTATAGTAAACATCTGACGTGGAACTGTATAAAATAGATGTTTAAAGTATTATAAAAATTATTCTTTATGTTATGCTACAAACCTTTTCAGTAACAGTCACTTCTGGTTATCTGATCCACTCTCCTTTTTTGGCAGAGGAGGTGGATTTGTTTGCAGCCTAAAATGTAGTCTTGCATTGCAGTCACTACGATGATTCAGTATTGATCAATGACTGTATTTTTTAGGCTAAAAAAAGTTACAAAAGATTAAAAGGTTCTACCGAAAAAGCATTTAGATCTGAGTAATTTTACTCGTTGTAGCAGAATCCTGTGAGTCTTTGTATAGCTGGCTCTATTATTCACACAGTGTTTGATATCATTCAAGTTACTTAAACTATTCATGCTTTGGTTTTACTATTTTATAAGTTAAAATATAAAAAGAAATGACACCTAGGTGTCAGCAAAAGGGATGCAGAGCTGGTAAGAAATGGGATCTTCTTCTGCGTATGTTAACCTCATTGATATTTTCTGAAATAATACACCTTTAATAATCTTAGTTGATCTACAGAAAGAGAGAAATAGGGTTGGATTTAAGCATCAGCTGGCTAAAGAAACTTAGAAGCCCTTAGGTGAGATCACTGCATGAGTGATGCTTTAAGTGAGATCAATGCACTGCTTGCATTATACTTCCTGTCATTTGAGTTCTATTGTCCAGGAGTATTAGGTCAAACCAGCTGCCCATCTAGTCCTTATCTCCAAGAGTGACCAACAACAAAAATGTGGAAAAGAATGGAAGAATAGGATGATGCCACAGACACCTGGACACTGATCAACAGTTAAATCCGAGATCTTTCTCATCTTCTGTCTTCTCAGATACGAATGAGTATGAAAACCAACACTTAAAACCAAAGAGAAAAATTACACACATATCACTTGTGTTTTTAACCACCAGACTTTCAGGTTTTCCATTTAACAACAAAGTATTTGGTCACTAGTGGTAAAAAAAGACTTTTTAAATTAAATCCCACTAAACAGATTTAAATTAAATACTCAACAGATTAATTGAAAAGGGATGATTTTCACCTGACTGAAATCTACCAACTGGCAGGTAACTTAAAAAACAAGGACAGTTCACTGCAACACAGCAGGATTCTCTTCATTTACGTTTATAGGAGTGCTTTTGTTTTACAACCACCTTCACAATGTTCTAACAATATCCTACTAAGATCCTATAAAAAAAGGAAAGCTTCAAAACTTTACAGCTTCTCTATAAAGCTTCACTCAAACTCCTTCTAATTGCCTATTTTGGAGAAAAAGTTAATGGATTCAGATTAATGAGGATTAACAACAACGTATCTTGCTACACAAAAAGCAAATCTAATTACTAGCTTCATCTAATACAAAACTAATACCTAACTTCAATTCCCACTATTTGCTTTGTAGGCTCTGAGCAGTCAATCTATCTCGGATGTTTGTTCCATATCCTCTCACTCACTCTGTCACATTTTGTCTCTTGAAAACTGCAAGGCTAAGGGAAAAAAGAGGCAATATGAGAAAACTATATATAAATGTTTAATCATTACTGATGAATCTGCTGTTCAGTTTTTGGAACAGACTGATGAGAGAATGATGATCATTTTATTCTAACAAATTTCAACCCAACCAATCATCTGAATTGCTCATTCCCCTCTTTTGACAGATGAGTGATGAGTTCTACGTCAGAAGTGAAATCTCTCTCTTAAGTTTCTTCAGATCAACAGGAAGACTGCAAATTCAACCTTCACTGTTTTTAAATGCCTTGCTCTCTTCAGTGTTATCTCTTTAGTTATTACTCTTATTAAATAGTTCTACACAATTTCTTATCATAAGACCAGGTTTTTATCTCTTCCATTAAGGCTGCTATTGAACACTTCAGCACACTATATGCTCCAGTACATCCACAGTTTCACCATTACTTCAAGGCAAAATATATCATAAAACATTATAGAATTATACAAGGCTTCTTATTATAGTCCCTATTTTCTCAATAAATTAAGAATTTTTAAAAAATCCCACATGGACTACTGAGGTTCAGAAGCTTTACAGGAAATCAGACACAGGCTGTTGTGTTCACCCAGAGTAAGCCACACATGGACTGGCTCTTACTAGCCTTGGAATATTCTTTCCAGAAATTTTCCATCTCACAGAATACCTGTCTTCTCAGTGAAATAAAAGAGACATGCCACACCTGTCACAGAAAAAGCAGAATAAGCCACCCTTTAGGTGATTCTGTCCTGCAGCCTCCACAAAGAGCTTTTTGAGAAACAGGCACTGTGAATGCTTTTATCCTTCTAAAACGAGTGTCATTTGCCAGGCCAAATTCATGCTTTCCTCCAGGCACTTCAGCTGTTTAAAATTCCAACAATACCAGCAAGCTTCACACATCCTACCTGGAACAGTAAAGCACTTGCTCCTTCCAAAATGGCCTTTTTCCATTTTCTACTGGTTGTGGGGACGATCAGTTCATCTTTAAAGCATCTAGTCAGCCATGCATGGAGAGTGATAGTCCTGCCTAACCACAGCAGCTTAAGCCATGAAGCAGGAGGTCTTCTGCCTCCCTGTTTAGTATGTATAACTACAAATGCTAACACAAGTCATAAAATTAATCCACCTTTTTTATGACTTGCTGTATTGTACTGCTATTCCACAATAACTTTCCAAAAGCAATAAACAAGTGATACAGTACACACATGATAGCACATTGGTTTCCCTTAAAATTAGCTTTTACCGTTGTCATCGCTGTTTGTAGCACAGGATACAGTGGCTAACTTAATCTGCTTCCTCCCCTCCAAGACCACAGCTTCAAATCATTTCATTTAAACAGGCATTATAAAAAAATACACCTTTTTTTCCTGCATTTTTTATGGTGAAAGATCGACAGGTACCAAAGAAAAATGAAGACAGAATTACTGAACATGCATCTCATCTAGAATGTTCTCTGGAAGCTGTTCCTTCATTGAAACACTGTGTAGTATCTTTGCTGGAAGACTGTATCCTTATTTTTTTCCCACACACAATAGTAATAAGTTTGTTCAAGCACTAATCTATGTGACTTTGCTAATGGCGTTATATCTAAATATATACTTTGAATGCATTCTTTCATTTCATCTGTCTCTACTCAAGGTCTTTTGTTCTTATCATCAGGACCATTTTCCTGGTGAAACCTGGAGAAAAAGGTGCCTGAAGGTTCAGATAACAATACATTGTTTATTCTATACCAGATACAAATTAAGGAACACAGAGAGACATATCACTGTTAAGAATTACAGTATTATTGTATCAGAGACAGGAAAAAAACCTATACAATAATACTGTTCCTGGTGCTTTAACGTTAAAATCACACTCTTAGTAGTACAGTAAGTCATAACAAACAATTAACAAAACCTACCTAGTGATGGTATCTACACCGAGGAGGTTTTAAGTCAGTATTAAGAATTAGTGCTTAATGTCTTATTCTAAGAGAATTATTTGGTTTTTTAAACCAAAGCTTCCATCTGTCAGATTTTAGGAGCATAATTTTTAGGCTGTTCATAGTCCCTCCTAGAAAGCAGCTCAGTAAAACATACTCATGACCAGCTAAGCCTCTTAGTTCTATACAGTTACAGAAAATGGATTTGGAGTCCTTGAGGAACATTCCACAGTTAGAGGGAAAGTGTGCTTAAAAAGCATTACCTGTAGGTGGCAGCTGGAGGGGTGTACACCTATCTTTTTGGACACTGTCCTCAGGTAAGGAAACAAGTTTTCTGGCAAGCACTGCAGAAACTGGTTGTACTAACAGCGTTGTGAGGTTCAGTCGATTTTGCCTGTAGCTTCCATCTTAAAAAACAGAAAGACAAGGGCAATTTTGTAAATGAAAATTAGATTTCAATCCATCATAAACGAAACAAAACCCACCAATCTCTATAACACAGCTTAAAACAACTGACATAGATAAGCAGCTGTTATTGGGTACTTACCTTATTGAAAAAAAAAAAAGTCTCTTCAAGAACATGTACCACAAAATTGCATGTGCATATTACAGTATCTGGACAATAGTTCCACAAGAAAGAAGATGACAAAGAGCCGGTGCAGATATTGGACTGTATGTGACTTAAACACACTAAATTAAATTGGTGTGTACTCAAGGAAACATTGATAAATACAATTATAGATCAGAAATAACTTCCAAATTCAAGTAAAAATTGAACACAGCCTTACAGGGAAGGGCAGACATTTAAACTGCCCAGAATCATGTGCAAGTATCCATCTGAATTGAACAGTTACTACCAATTAGGCTTTATTTTGCCTACAGAAGTTGTGCTATTTAGCTCACCCTTTAAACAGTTTTAGTGCTATCACACAAACAAGCCTTTGTGAGAAATCTGACAAGAAAAACAGCAAAAATGAGGCATGTTGATAATATACTGGCAACTTGATGAGATGTGCTTCCTTGCATATACCAGAAAGCCTGAAAATTCTGATATACACCAACCTTTTTGAAAGGCTACAATCTGGTCACCTCATTGACTCAAAGTGGGTTCAGTGTAGCTAAGGTGACTCTATTGTATTTTATAAATGCAGGCGTGTTTCTGCGATGGGAAGTTGAAGGCTAAGATGAAGGAGGTCTGAAATAAGAGAGCACTACCAAACAGACACATACATCAAGTGAAGCGAGGTATGGATCAGAAAGCCACTGACTACCTCATTTACAGCTTAAAGAACTTAAGAAGTCATAGCACAAAGCTCTCAATAACAACAGATCCATGCAAATATTAAAATCTCCCTTCAACTGAAAAAAACGTGAGTTTCCACACACATCTATGTTTCTGATGAGACAATGAGATATTCTGGGAGACCAATTGAAAGAACTGGCAAAAGATAAGAGGCTAATTTTGCACCTGGAAATACTCTGAAGCACTTCAGGACAAAACACCTGTTTTTCTCAGCTATTTCATCTGGCCAATAGAGGTATCATCTCTTCCCATAGAACACTCTTGAAGATGAAAAGCCCACTATGGAAAAGGAGCAGAGGCTGATAGCCCGGGGCAGGACACAGCTTCAGAACAACCTGCAGCACTCTCAAAGCCTTCCAGTATACCTGCCCCCACTGAATCATTTCCAACATTCAACTAGAGATTCAGAATACAAGGCCACCCTCTGAGACCCCCCGGAAACAAACACCATATTTTCTGTCAACATGGAGTTCTTTACTACCCAAAGGCATCCTTTACATCCTGTGTGACTGCAATCACAAAGGGAGGGAGCTATCAGAAATCAGCAGCACATGTTCTAATACATTTCTATAAAAATACTATCAGGATTGTTATTGCTGAACCACAACATAAAAAAAAATAAAAAAAAATCCAGCCACAACCTCCAGTTTTCATTCTTTTTATGCTACAAACTCTTGAGACTTTTTATAATATGCCCTTAAGCATAATGTAAAAACTGACCAAAGCTGTATAATTTAAATATGGAAAAACAAAAATCATGGTTCAACTTTAATACAAAGTGACAAGTGTTCACTTTGAAAGAATCAGGCAAATTTTTAAGTGGAAAGGTGAAACTGGCTCAAAACATTTTAAACATGGTAAAATCAGTTTGCTCAGGCTTTGAGAGTCAGTTTCTGGAATCAAAAAAACCCCTAAAATGTCCTAAATTGCCCAGAGATGGGCAATTGAGACATTATTTTCTGTGTAGTGTTTGTCAATCTGCAGACTGTATTAGAGGAGCAATGAGGCTTAAAATGTTTCAGATGAGAAGTATCTCTCCTTTCTTCAGTTACTCAGAATTTGAGCTTCATACCTGAATGAGCTTTGAAAGATACACTTTCGAGAACAACTTACAGGAGAAAACCCCACTATGTTTAAAAATTAATCATTTAACAATAGAAGATGGAATTTGATGTATGGGACAAGTAGAAAAGAAATATATAAAAAGGCAGATTTAAGTTATCTGGGCAGATTTATCTGGAAGAAAAACTCTCTGATAGAAGGAATTTATAAAGACCTGCCTAAGCAGGTGATAAAATCTCTACAACTGAAATCTTTTTAAAGAAAAGAATAAGTAAACATCTGTCAGGAATGATGCAGATATGGCCGATGCCCTCCCTGAAGGAAGGTGCTGCATTAGATGACCTCTTGACATCTTTTCCAGGTCTGATTTCTCTAGAATTCTCCAGTAACTGAACTTCCTGAACCATTAAAAAAAATATAAATTATTGGAACTAATATTAAAAAATGCTTTTTAAAAAAAGGAAAAGTGACTTTCCCTCTTCCAGGCATGTAACAGTTGCCAGGAAAGTAGCCTGCTAAGAGGACTGAGGAAAGCTCTCTGCACCATGATCAGGTTTCAAAAGCGAAAGACTCAAGACCAGTCCTCTCCAGTGCACACTTAAAAATCTGGAGATTTCCAGGGCTGCTAGTTAAAGCCCAAACATTCAGTTTTTAAATACTGACTGTGAAACAGTGCAGTGCAACTTCATAAAGGAACCAACATATTGAAAGAAGTTTGAGATTCTTGCTGGCACTTTCTCTGCTGGATGCCAAACTCTGTGGAGCACAGAGTGCTTTCAGGATCTGTGGAAACAACAAATGCTTTGAGGATAATTTAAATTTGACATTTTGCTTGTAATGAAATTTAGTTTTATAGCATGAAACTCTTCCAAGAAACAGAATTCCTTCTCTGCAAGTCTAACAATCTAACCGTGCCAGGCCTAGAACCACTATTAATTTTAGAAAGTCTCCAGAGAACATACTGTAAAGGGAGAAGAAAAATATGGTAATCAATTATTAAGTTAATTTTAGGAGCACAAACAGAGGCAATCTTTAGAAAGTTTCTTCACGGAAAGCAAGGCCTGCATTACTACTTTTGCAGTGACTGTGTTCTATGTTTTCTTTTTCAAAGTAAGCACAAACCTTGAGCATCAGCTTCCATACTGCTCAGTTTGGGACACACATTTGGAAGTCAGGATTTCATAGTGATCCATCACTTAACTTACTGGTATTTGTAACATGTTCTGAGATTTCTGAAAAGCTTTTACTGGGAGAATTTAACAGTAACACTTGTGCACCATATGTCACTCAATTCTACGTTAAAGTACAATTTTATCATCGTTTCAGTGACTTTTGTGAAGACTGGAAGATCACAGCACATGAGATGAGAGTTAGTCACAACATTTTACCTCTCTAGTTAAAAGAATATTGCTTCACCCACAGCTTCTTAGTATTAGCAAATAGGCTTTTATTTATATTTCTCTAAAAAGTTTTGTGCTATATGAATCAACTTTCTGTTAACTTTTGTTTAAATTCCAGATTCAAAGGAAGACTGGACAAAATACTGTATTTCATCATATCTATTTATTAAAGTCACCCTCTGCCAGAATCTGATAAAACAAAAAGTTAACAACTAAAACTGTTTAAAAAGTCTACTGATAGAATTCATCAAAATAATTCCTTCTAAGACCTGAAACACTGCTTTAAGGATGTTCCCCCCCAAAAAAGAGAAAAAAAAGTATTCTGACTGAACACTGAACCATTATTTTACATACCCACATCTTTGACTTTCTGCTGCATTAATAATAGAGCATATTAGTTTTGAAATATCTGAAGTGAATGGCTCATTAATTTTTCACCTTAAGCTTAATAGAAATTTGACAAACAGTTTTATGCTGAGAATAGACACTCCAAGCAGGACTTCACAGCACATGATGGGAATAAATTAGAGCATAAAAGACAGAATAATGTGTATTTGGTCAAATAAGATGGTTCTGTCATTCACTTGCTTGAAGTGAAGTTAGTTCAATGCATTTCCGTGAAAGTGGTATTTTTACATTTAAGGATTCCCAGCATAAATGCCTTTGTCAGCACTTGATCTTGTATTTAGCATGACAAAAACAAAGATGTATAAATTGACATGTCATAGACATTTATATTATTTGTGCTTTGAACTTGTACACAGTTTCCCCCCAACTTTGCTGATAACATTCAACAGCTGTTACATTCCACTGACTCTCATGCAGTTAGGCACGATGATTTATTCTTCACTGCAAAATCAGTTTATCTGTGGTTTTTCTGATTTACATCTATCCAGACAAAGGGACTGTGCAGTGCCTGCAACAGGGAGATTCCACCAACTGGTTGGTGGCTCCAGGTACTAAAACTCACATCACTACTGGTCATCATCATGGCTGGGCTTCGCGAACGAAGATTTGGGAGGGTTTTATCCACATTTGTTACAGGCTCGTTGGTGACTTATGAGGTCAATACGTGACAGACATATCCGATTGCAAAAAGCACAACAGAAAGACTCCTTAGATGATGTATTCTGCAAGGCACGGTTCTTCCTGCGTTGCCTCTTCTCCTCGAGAGTGATCCTGTGTGTGTTCTCAAAGGCATCTGCAGCGTTATAGATGGTGTGTCCCAGGTCTCCCGATTTGAGGCCAGAGTAGACCAGTTATGGTGATTAATATGGCCAAGGCTGAGATGTTGTTTCAGGGAGTCCTTGAATCTTTTCTTCGGGGCTCCTCTCTTGCGGCAGCCAGTGGCAAGTTCACCATAAAATCACTACTGGTAATCATAATAATTTTACCATGCAGCACCTACTTGATTAAATCTTCAGCTACAGTTGCTTACAATACTGTCGATGACCAGCATTTTTAAGACAGACATAACTCTTCTAACTCAAAAAGACTTCAATTAAGCCTTCACATCCCATTTAATCTCTGATATGAAATGTATCCATCAGTTACACCTCACAAACTCACTGACTTTTTTTTCCTTCCTAAATTTTCTCTTTGAACAAAGGAAGAAAAATAAACTGATTCTGGCTGTTACTTC